GGCTGGGGAGGCTGCGTGTAGGTGAGCGAGATCGCTGCATTGCTTTGCCGGAGGATGGCAGAGAGTAGTAACGTTGTGTGTGCTCTGTGGCTTATAGATGAAGGGCATGAATAGCTGGAAATATTCCGGGATGTTATAAAACCAAAAGGACTTTCTGTACAGCGTGGCGATGCACGGCAGGAGATTAACTCCGAAAAGGATGCTTGCCCCCCAACTGCTGCAACAGAATAGAACATTTTTCGTTTCCAGTATCTGAAATTCCTCCTGAAGACACAACAAGGACTATCAAAAACATCAGAGAGGTTCTGGTACTTTTGAAGAGGCTTAAAGCAAATGCCAGTATAATATCTGAATGACCTTGGAGATCATTTTATGTGGATTCATTAATTTTCACTGCCAGTCTTCTAGTCTCAGGAACTCTAGGATTAAAGATGGTTTTAACATTCTAGGGGCCTTTCAAAAAGCAAGATTGTATACAGTTAATTACCTGCCTAATGATTCCTGAACTAATCAAGCATTTACTTAAAACTGAACACAGAAGATGCTTTCTTTTAACATTTGCTTTCTCCACAACTGCAAATAAAATGAGCAAGGTAATGTCCTGCAATTTGAAGGATATTTTTTTAAAGGAACTATTTATTATGCTGATCATCTGATGAATATAGGAACCCTAGAACTACGTAGAAGATGAAGCTGAATAGCAGAATGATGGAGTAGTAAACAGTGGCAGCTTTTCTAGTCAAATCAGCATTTCATTAGCTTCACAGCAGAATGCAGATGGAAGTTTCTGTTCTCGTTGTGTGGGGGTTTGTGAAATGATTCAGGTGTTGCTACAGAGGTGAGCAATATCATGGATATACCTATGAAGTCTTGGGTACTGATCCACTGTAGCAGACGTGGCAGAGTTTTCAAAGATGATTATTTTAAATTATCATTGCTGAAATTAAATTCCAGAGGATTTATTTTGTTTGTGGGGACCTTGAATTATGCTTCTGTCATTAATAATTGTAACGGACTAGAACTGTTTGAAGGAGTTGTGAATAGTGACCTAAGTCTCCAAATTCTACTCTTAAATTATTTTCATTTTTAAATGAATAGACAAAATCTTCCACATTGTATGTGAGATGTATGTTTTCCTTCTTGGGAGTCAGAGGACAAAATCTGCCTTGTCCCCCACCCGTCTCTCTCCAAATAAAATTCATTATTCATACCCAAACAGTGGTGAGTCTATTGGAATTAACCTTGACAAAAATGTTTACCTTTCCAATGGCTAGCATGGATAAGATGGAGTACCATCTCCTGAATGGATCCAGAAAAGACAGCATTAGATGATGAACTTTTTCATTTAGTCTCCAGTCAGGCTGTGGTTTAAATTGAGACTTTTAAAAGATTATCTCCAGTAACTACTGGTCCAAGCAACCTGAGCTGCACCAAGGTTCCTCCTTCCCTTCCTCCCCCTCACCCTGTTATATTCCAAAGTAAGTGACTTTCTCAGGAAAACAAGCAGTCAGAGATTTCCCCCCCTCCTTCCTTGGGAAATGAATGTGTCTCTCTTTTGTCAGCTTTTATTTCAGTATCTCACAGTACGTGTTCGTTTTAGAAGTGCCTTGTGTTTGCTAAAGATTGATCAAGAGCACTGGAGGAGCTGATCAGTGGCCTTTCTCTTTCTGGCTTTTTTTTTTGTTTTGTTTTTGTTTTTGTTTTCTTTCTTTCTTTCCTTAAAGCTAAGGTGTGCCAGAGGTGATGCACTGATGCTGAGGAGGCATCAACAGCTATGGGACTGTAATCCTCTCAAATGTAAGCACTGGCAGTGTCTACAAAGAGAGATCGTGAGACGCTGAAGCAGAGTTTAGCTGCTGTTAAGCAGGTCATCTGCTCACTAAGGCTCAGATTGCAGTGTTCCCCAGTAACAAAACATGAACCAGTCCCGATGGATTGAATGGAGGACTCTGAATATGAGCAGTAGTGTTATGAACATATCTGAGCATCTCTCCTGCCCTCTTGGATTTGGTCACTACAATGCAGTTGACATCTGTATCCTTGAGACAGTTGTTATTGTCTTGCTAACATTTTTAATTATTGCGGGTAACTTAACTGTGATCTTTGTTTTCCACTGTGCTCCACTTCTGCATCATTATACCACCAGCTATTTCATTCAGACCATGGCCTATGCTGATCTTTTTGTTGGAGTTAGCTGCTTGGTCCCTACTTTGTCGCTGCTCCACTACTCGACAGGTGTCCACGAGTCCTTGACTTGTCAAGTTTTTGGATACATCATCTCAGTGCTGAAAAGCGTGTCCATGGCATGTCTCGCTTGCATCAGCGTGGATCGCTATCTCGCTATAACCAAGCCTCTCTCCTATAACCAGCTGGTCACACCTTGCCGCTTGAGAATCTGCATCAGTTTGATCTGGATCTACTCTTGTCTGATCTTCTTGCCTTCCTTTTTCGGTTGGGGAAAACCTGGTTACCATGGAGATATTTTTGAATGGTGTGCTACCTCCTGGCTAACTAATGCCTATTTCACTGGCTTTATCGTGTGCTTACTTTATGCTCCTGCTGCCTTTGTCATATGTTTCACCTATTTCCACATCTTTAAAATCTGCCGGCAGCACACCAAAGAGATCAACGATCGGAGAGCTCGGTTTCCCAGCCACGAAGTGGATGCTGCTGGGGAGACTGGGCACAGCCCTGACCGCCGCTATGCCATGGTTTTGTTTCGGATAACCAGTGTGTTCTACGTGCTCTGGCTCCCCTATATCATATACTTCCTGCTGGAGAGCTCTAGGGTGTTGGATAACCCAGCGCTTTCCTTCCTAACGACATGGCTTGCTATAAGCAATAGTTTCTGCAACTGTGTGATTTATAGCCTCTCCAACAGCGTTTTCAGGCTGGGACTGCGGAGACTGTCAGAGACAATATGTTCATCTTGTACGTGTTTAAAAGACAGGGATGTACGGGACCCTAAACCCAGAAAACGGGCTAATTCCTGCTCCATTTAAAGAAAACCGGCACGTGTAACCAAACGTGGAGTTTTGATAGTATTTGCTGTGTCTCAAACTGGCCAGGAGGGAAATGTTTACCTGAATAGCTTGCTATGATGTTAGAGTGAGTTTAAAAGTGATCGTGGGAAAGGAAAAGGCTGCCCTAAAGGGTCACTGAACTTGAATTTATCTCCTGTGAAATTTGTTAGGAGAGCGGATCAACAGAGACAATGAAGAAGGTTAGAACTCAAAATCTTCCAAAGGGCATGAAATAGCTACCACATCAGAGGAGGTTCCTCATAAAATAAGTTAGTTACTACCTTGTATTTTCCCCCTTGTAGAAAAGTTGTCTTACTATCTTTGTGTCAGAATATACTGTAGCCTTCTGAAATTAAACATATTTAAGAGGAAACAATCAGCAACACAGTAAGTGGCTATCCATAAATTACATACCTGAGGACTATAGTAGATATTGCAGATTAATAACCAGCTTTGTCTCTGCTCTCATCTTGTACAATTTTCTGTTGTACAAAAAAAATCCACAATGCATAAAACACTGAGCACGACACATTTGGGTAAGATGGCACATTTTGGTGCAACTTTCACAGAAGCTCTCCCTCTTATTTCCCCTTTTTTTCCCCATGCTTTACATCCCCAGTTTCCTTTGCTTCCAAGTGGTTTAGTTTGAAGGCACCTATGAGGTAAACTTGAGTTTCAAACATTTCTTCCTGCTG